TGTGATTATCGACTACTAAGGTGATAACAGCTGTGAAGAGGTTACGACCTTCGTGCAGTCAGTGAAGACACCTAACAACTATGATGCGCGCGCGCGAAACCCGTTCTTTGATGTACGCCGCCTCCGACCGCCGCTGCTAGTTTCCTTCTAGATAATTCCAGGCAGAGGTAATCAGTCGACATAAAATTTACAAGTAATATTTAATTTGATATGAAATAAACATTTTTAATTTTTTTTTAATTTTAATTTGATTATTTTTATGTCGAGTTTTCCGAAGTAAAGTTATTTCAATACGTTTGAATACTGATTCTGATAACGCACTTAACGAGAACCACAGAGTTTTGTTACATATTGTATATAGAAATTAAACTTAAAAAAAATCACACGTAGATTAGGAATAAAAAATAATAGAATATTAAAAAGTTAGTTCTCGATCAACATACGAATTATCTGAATATGGTCGATTAAAAACTCACTTTTAAACTTTAGCACTTAGTTTGCCGCGTGGATTTAAAAAAAATTACTTCATCGTAATTCATTATTTTTTACCGTTAGCGTTACATCCTATTAGCACATAGTAAAGAGTTTTCTTTACTCATGTGCTATTAAACCCCACTGCTAAACGTCGACCACACCCATTAATTGCCTCATAGGGGGATTTTGCTTGTTCTCACGTTTGGCAAGAATGTTTGTAACCATATTTTTTATTTTTTCACTTTTGATTGTGTTTAATATTCTTTATTTCCTGTTTTCTTTTTTATGTGATAGGATGACAAACGAGCACACAGTCCACCTGATGGTAAGTGGTTGCTGTGGCCCATAGACATCTACATCTATCATCGATTACGAATCGAAATGCAAATGCGTTGTCATCCGTGAGGAATTAAGTGGAATGCCTCGTTTCCAGTAAAAAGGGTCTCCGGTTATCTACACTCACCATACGAAACACAGCAGCATTAAGCTACCATTTGACGCTGTTATTCTGTGAGAGCGTGGTCCTTCCCCGGTCGAGCCGACCCATTCGTGATACAACTATACTACTAATATAACTGCAGCATGGCTCTACCACGTAAAAGCTATTCTTCAAATATTATGAACTAGCGTTTTCCTACGCCATCGAAAAAGCTTTGTCAAAATCGTAATGAAATGAATTATTTTTATCCAACATAGATTATGGCATAACAGTTATTGAAATTAATTTTTTTATTTACCACTGATTCGGAAAAAACCTCTAACCTGGGAAGAACCAGCTGGAAACCCAGCGGGACTTTTTTTAAACATATTTTTCCCTTTACAATAATTTATTTTGTTCAATTTTTGAATTATTTTTATAGAACTAGCATGGTGGCGATCACCTCATTCCCAGAAGTCATTTTCATTTATGTATTCTTTGATATTGTAATAACCCTTTATGTACAATTTTTTTTTCTTTAATTAAACGTTTAAATAATTACGATTCAGTTTAATAAGCTTTTTATAATACATTGCCCTATAAATGAACTACTAATTCTGTGGAGTCTAGTAACTGGTTTTACAAGCTTATGTTTGTTCCTAGTCTTTAAAGTATGGACATCTTTAGTCTTACGAAATCTATTTATGTTTTATATACATACATTACAATTTCATAAATATATTGCAATGCCAAAGTTAATATGCTTATTGCTTTAAAATTTTCTCTAAGGGACTAACTACAATTTAAGTTATAAATCGCCCGTACGGCTCTCTTTTGCAAAACAAATATGACTTCAACGTCAATCGCATTACCTACCCAATAGTAAGATTCCATAAGACATAATGGAAGTCGGTAATCGCCGCAATCCCTTCAGGTGAAGGGTGTGAGAGTTTGTTTGTGTAAATTATAAAAAAAATTAGCTTAAAGAATCTACAACGAACATGCAGAAATTGAATTCTTACTTTTCTATGACTCAATTAAATATGTTAAAAATTAATGAGAGCCAATAATCTTACGCTCACTAAATGTCGCTAGGTTTTTTTTAAAGAATATTAACAATGCTATAAACATTACTAATATTTCCCTTAACCACTCGTGGTAAGCTTAAATTGCTTGTGTTACGAGTGGTTCACGCCAGTAGTCAAATGGCGGATTGGAACCCACGACATTTTTGAGTTCGCGGTCCGCGCCCTGCCATTAGGCTACTGTCGTTAGTTGACACTGAGGTGAAGTTTATTGGTACAAAATGTCATTTAACTGCAAAATTAGTCTTAAATAAAGGTTTATCAGTTTCTAGAGTATTATAAAACAATGTCTCAGTGGTTTGCTCTTTAATTTTTTGCACATTATTAACTCTTTCTTAATTTTCTACCTACATGATATATTGATGCTTGTTGCGTTCTGCGATGGTTGTTCAGCGGGTCGCTATTCTCAATGGCGCTCTCAGGGTCTTGGTTTGACTCAGCAAGTAGCTTTGACCTCCATGACGATTTCTATAACAACATAATAATATATCTCTATAACTTTCCCACCTTTGAATGATTGAAGGCAACTTGTTGGTGGTTGAGACAAACATGATCGAAAAATGCATTTACTCAACGTCAGTGACACAAACCCTTTCTGATGGCAAATTATTACTATTTTATTATAACTGTGTTGCATTTGTGGACTATGAGAAAGCCTTTGACTCCATTGAAACTTGGGCTGTTCTAGATTCTTTGCAGCGGTGCCAAATTGAATGGCGGTACATCGAAGTGCTGAGATGCCTTTACAACACCAGTACAATGCCCGTCCAAGCACAGGACAGTCAAACAAAACCAATCCAGTTGCATCGCGGAGTGACAGTGGGATGTTATATCCCCTAAACTGTTTACAAATGCACTGAAAGATGTTTTTAAGACTTTAGACTGGAGAGGACGCGGTATTAACGTAAACGGTGAGTACATCTCACACGTACGCTTTACTGATGATATCGTCTTCATGGCAGAATCGCTGCAGGAACTTCAGGATATGCTGAACAGGCTAAATGAATCCTCCTAACGTGTTGGTCTGTGTATGAATCTGAACAAGACAAAAGTTATGTTCAAAGATCACGTCATGCCAGTTCCAATTACTGTTGATGGTGAAATTCTCGAAGTTGTCCAGGAATATACCTACCTCGGGCAGATATTGCAACTAGGTAAGAATAACTTCGAGAAAGAAGTCGATCGGAGGATTCAGTTGGGCTGGGCAGCATTTAGAAAGCTCCGTCGGGTTTTCACGTCGCCCATACCGCAAAGTCTGAAGACAAAAGTCTTCAACCAGACAATTCAGACGATCTGCGCAAGGTGGCTGGTAGAAACTGGATGCGAGTAGCCGAAGATCGGGCTAAGTGGCGCGCCTTGGGAGAGGCCTATGTCCAGCAGTGGACTGCCGCAGGCTGATGATGATGATGATGATGATATTATAACTGCCTATTTGTTATATCCGCCGTTGTATTGGTTGGTAGAGCATATGTGTCGACCTCGTGCGGGTGGTAGAGATCTAAGGAGAGAAAAATATATAAAATACAACAAATACTACGGAAGGAAACAAATCTTTATATTTTTCTATTTCAAACAAATTGACTTCCCCGATATGGAATCTGTCAAATATTACACCTGATTTTTAAATGACGCCGCCCTAGTGGCAAAAAAGTCGCGGACGGCCTAATTAGCGATGGACTAATATGCATAATAAAATAAAATGATTTATCTTGCCTAGTTTAAAGAGCACCTCCCGCCCTCCCTTATCCCAGCACCACTACACCAGGAAAGACATACCACTGAAGCCTTATCCGTCGCCACCGCGGAGTCTACTTTACCTGAAGATGCCTCGTCTGGAGACGAAACACCTGTAGTGTTATCGACGGTGGTGTGTCTTTTATAGTGTAGTGGTGTTGGTAGTAGTGGTGACAGAGATAACGCATGCAATTGAGGGATGACGGGAGGTGCTCTTCAAACTAGGTAAGACACAACATTTTATTTTATAACGCTGATCAGGTAAATAATTTTTATCATTTTTAATGTAATGGTATACTGGTTCAGACGTGGTAGAGCCATGCTGCAGTTATATTAGTAGTATAGTTGTAGCACAAATGGGTCAGCTCGACCGGGCAAGGACTACGCTCTCATAGAATACCAGCGTTAAATAGTAGCTTAATGCTGCTGTGTTTCGTATGGTGAATGTAGAGAACCGGAGACCCTTTTTACTTGAAACGAGGCATTCCATATTAGTCCTCACGGGTGACAACGCATCTGCATTTTGATTTGTAATCGAGGATAGATGTAGATATCTATGGGCCGCAGCAACCATTTACCATCAGGTTGACTGTGTGCTCGTTTGTCACCCTATTCTATAAAAAAATTAGTTTCCGAAAAGTAACGCCTGATTCTATTAATTTTATATGATTTCTTTTCTATCTAGGAGTCCGTCTTAATGGATTGTAACCCATTATCTATTCTGCCACCATATAGCAGTGCTTGTACCAAAACCAAAATTATACGAGTTGCTGCATCCGTAGAGATTTAAAAACTATGTAGTCCGCATTCTGTGGTAGTGCATCATCACACGAATTTTAGATGTTATTTTTACTGAAAATAAATAATAAATAATAAAATGATTGTCCATTGATTTTTGTAAGCCACTGTCAGCCCGGCCAGGCGTTTCGGTCATTCTTTTCAGAGTATAAAACGAATTTGTCATTCTGCAATTGATTATTAATAGTTTTTAATTAATTTAAGGGGGGTTGGGTTCTTAAATCTCTGTGGATGCAGCAACTCGTATAATTTTGGTTGAAGTTCACTTAAGGTAAGTTCCATTAACCATAAATTATACTTCGTTGTTGCATCCTAGGAGATCTAAAAACTATGTAGATGTTTATTGCTTATAATTGCAGAGTGAACAAATAAAAACTATGGAAAAGGATCACGAGTATATTTATTTCAACAACGCAACAAAAATCACATATTCTTTGAAAACACTAATTAACATTTTAAATATATTAATTTTAATTACACTTAGAACTAAATCATTCATCCCTACTAAATACTGCATCAGCGAAAGCTCTGTCTTGTTCGCCATCTTTTAACGGTAAGTTATAGAACTTAGCGAAACAAAGAGAAGCGTTGGAACAGCCAGCTGTACTTTTTATGACATCTATGGAGACACCTGCGCGCTTCGCTGCCGATGTCGATGCATGCCGCGTACTGTGTGACGAATAAGCGTTAACATCAATGCCGCTATCCTTAAGGATTTGTTTCATCCAGCGACTTAAAGATTGGGCAATGGCATTTCTGGTAGGTTTTCTAATAGTTGAAATTAACTTATCTGAACCCGATTCCTCCCGTAGATCTCTCGTTCTATTCATGTAATCAGAAAGGGCTTTCACTGAGCAAATTTCTTGTTGTTCTCTGTAATTGAAATGAGAGATCAATTGTTGCCATAAATGAATCTTCAGATATTAATTTAGTAGATGTGCGAAAGTCTTCCATTTTAAAATGATTTTGCAGTATAAATTTATTAAGCGACTTCAAATTAAGAATAAATCTATAAGACCCGTTACTTTTAGGAATATGAAATATCGGAGATATAAATTGACCATCACAATCGTTACATGGCACAATTGATCCTAATCGTTTAAGTTGTTTGATCAATTTCAACATTTCGGTCTCAGAGAATTATCAGGCTCTACGAGTTGGGTAGGAGTTCGTGTGAATATTAACGAATAGCCCTTTACTATATTTAATATTTGGGGATCCATTGTTACGTTTAAACAATTATGTAAAAAGTATTGAATACGACCAGCGTGAGAAACCTAGTACCTTTAGCGGCGGCTGGCGCCGTGGCTACTTTTAGGCGCCATGCCGCTGGCAGTTGCTTGCGGGCGGCGGGCTGCTGAGGTGGACGGTAGTACCTAGTCTGTACGCGGGCTGCACGCGCCGTTCCCTGCCCGCTCGGTTGAAGGGGGGGGGTGCTCCTGAGTTTCCCTGTGTACCTGTGACCATGGGTTTGTTTTCTAGGAGCAGACAATTGTGATTTTTTGATCTGCAGGCTAGATTTTTCTGTTGACTAGGTAGTTTTGATATTTTCACTTAAATTGTCACCGAAGAGAAAATTTTCCCGTTTAATGCTTTCAATTACATTAATAAAGCTTTTGTCTAACATTGGGATAATTAATCGTCTACGATTCATGGTTTCATGGATTCATGGTTGGTGAAGATCTAGTAGAATTTGATTTATTTCGGATATTTGCTTAATTATTAGGTATTTGCTCATTTCTTTCCTTATTAACTCTGACGTTAAATGTGCTAAGCCTGCAATACCATAACCTAGTTGGTTTTGCATCTTTTCTAAACGCCTATCACGATTTTTAGTCGATTCATTGACAAAACCTCTGCGTTCAATCTTGGCGCTTTAGCAAGCTGAAAATTTTCGGTGATCAGTGTTTTAGTAAGCAGGTTGTCTTTCTGGGTAACATCACGTGTCACCACATTAAGAAAGTAAGTTTAATATTTCCATCACTGAGATGGCACGTGATGTCATAAATAATAGTATAAATACTTCAGACAATAAAACTACTAAACTATCCCGATAATTAGCTCCTCACTTTATGGGTAGCATTACGTGTAAACACATTAAGAAAGTGAGTAAATTATTTCCGGATGACATCACGCGCCACCACTGAGGAAATAAAATAACTTGAATTTTTTTTAAATTAATAAGTGGGTACTTAATTAAAATCACCCCTTCCTTTATTTATGTACAATTTTCGTGATAAACTGTTCTAATTAAAATATTATCTTTGCCAAGTCAATCTATTTATTTAAAACATAAAAGATTTTTAATATTGGTACGGTCACTGTAATATGTTGTTATGTTAGCTAATTACGTAATAACTTAAGACAGAAGGACCCTTAAGTAGGGACTGAATAAATTAACCGACTTGGTATTACATGGATCTCACAACTTTTTACGGTAGAAAAACTGAGTTGCGAGACTTGTTTTTTTTTACAAGTTATGTTTTTGATGGCATATATTTTTCTTGTACGCGATATCTTAGTTGAAGTTTTTAATGTAACTATCTAGATGACGTTACAGTTGTTTTTAATATATAATAAGGGTGCCAAACGAGCCAACAGTTCTCCTGATGGTAATTTGATGCTGTGACCCAAGACATTTAAATCTATCCTCGATTAATAATCTAAATAGGTACAGATGTATTTTCACCCCTGAGGAGTAAGATGGAATGCCTTTTAACACTGCATTCCACGCGTCATGCGCGGAAATCGGTGGTAAATGAATACAAAACTCTTATAAAATTAAATATATCTTATATATAATTTTATAGTAACCGGATCACCGAGCTGTGCTCGGGTTTTATTTTGAAATTACATTTAGATACAAATTACATACTCATGAATGATATTTTTTGATCTTATTGATATAATAAAAAAAGCTGAGCACTCGGTTATTGGCATAAAAAATATGAGATTATTTAATTAAAATTTTCGTATTTTTAAAAAATACTAAAAAAAAGTCTCGAAATAATAGATTTTCTCATAAAAGAAGGTAACTTTAAAAAAAAAGGAAAAAAATCGGACCAAGACGGGACGCGAACCAAGGCATTAAGATTTCGCCGCCGCTCGATATCCACTTGAGCTATTACGATCACATTAACACAGTTTCAAAATTTATCTTCTTATATTGTAGCAGTTCTTCATTGTCTAAAAACACGGACAAAAAACATTTTATAAAAATTAATCCTAGCTAGATCGATTCATTGCCCCCGAAACTCCCTGGACACAAAATTTTATGAAAATCGTTGGAGCCGTTTCCGATATTCCGATTATATATACAAGAATTGCTTGTTTAAAGGTATAGGATATATCTTATAAATATTTTGACGCCATCAACATCATCATCATCATAATAATCCGTCACAAGTTCACTGTGTACCAAGGAATTTCACCACCTTGAAAAAATATACGAGCAACAATTACGCATCCTTAAATGTATCACCCCTCTTAAAGTCAAAGATAAATATAACGCAATGCAAAATTTAAAATACTACCAATATGTCACAAAGTGAAAAAACCAAGTACTGCTTGAAAATTATATATTTATACAACGTTTACTCGAGAAGTACTTGATCCGCATATATATACCAAAACATAAAAATATGTATGGAAAATTTAGGTAACAATATCAAGTTCTCTTCTTGAACTCTTTTGAATCAAATTCTAAACCCAATAAAAATGAGTTAACTGAAAACTTATTTAAGCAGTATTTTATCGACAAATTGTTAACGACACAAACTAATAATTTATACTAAAACTATAACTGTATCTACTAAGACATTTAATAAACACAAATACAAATCTACTTATAAATATATACATAGACACAATTGTAACATTCTCTCAATTGCTAATTTTATTTATCATACTTACTAACTCTGCTATGCTTTGTTACACATCCAGTTCAAAAAAAATTTGCTATTTTGTCACACTATGTATTTACGTCATTATATAAGTTGTCACAACGGGAATCGATAATAAAATTTTTGAAAGTTCATTTTTACTTTCGAATGTCATAATTCGGATGTAACTATATTTTATATAAATAAATAAAAGGCACGGTATTTAGCCACATTGACTTCCTCCAATTCCTACCAGGTTGTCACTCTATATAATGGGCCCCCTGCACTTCGTTTACTTGTCACTCGAGTACCTCCCTTCCTAATCGTTTGTTGGTTTTTCGAGCTACATGGCCAACATATTGACATTTCAGCTTACTCCGACCGATACGTTGATCTATGCTTAAGTATTTTTCATTCAAATTAATTTATTCCTTTGCGATAGGTCCCAAGAGATCATAATAATTACCAGGAATATTTCTGATAAGTAATTTAAATAAAATAATCTTGTTTTTGGACATAAATAATGAAAATTTCATTTTTTAAACTTTAACATTTTTTAATTTACTAACATTTCAAAATGAGCACTTCTGTACGGAGAAGAAACGGCGAAAGAAGTCCTTCCTTCCGTCCGACCTTCGATCAGATTCACTCTTTGTTGATTTATTATTAATTTTTTAAGCTAATGACAAATGACGACGAGCAAATAGGACTTGATTCCAGACTCACACCGACTAAGCTGCGTGGCGGCAGGTCCATGATATTGCGTGCCATAAGCGCAAAGCGCGTATGTATGTTCTACTAGCGCCTAAAAATCAAGAATCCAACGTCTTGTCGCATGAAATCGTATCTAACAATCATATTGAACTTATAAATTATATAAAAAGCACTTTGTCGGAAAGATAAATGATTGTTAAGCCCATTTTTTAATCTATTAATTTCTATTTTTACATTAAAAAGTGGTTTTAGAGGCTTATGGTGTAGATTTATCAAGTCCGCATGGAGGGGTACAAGATAACTTTTAAAAATATCATATAGGCATGCACATTTGGATTTTCCAAAATTTTATTCCTCTATACTAATTTAAAAATATATAAGAAATTTTTAATTTATGTGATTTATAATTTTATTTCCAGTTTTTAATCTGATACTAAATTTCAAGTCAAAATACAGCCACTCATAGGCAAGGGTCATCCACATAGTTCTGCTCCATAACTCTAAAGCGCCAAAAAGTCTTAACAATTTGATTTCTCAGACATGAAGGAGATTGCTCACGATGTTATCTTCATCCTCCAGACACGAAGTTAAAAAGCATTAAAAATTGCATATAGCATTATAGTTGGTGCCAGTGAGATCGAATTCGGGATTAACGTGTACTAATAACAATAACGTCTTCTAGACAAAATTTCGGTCACGGCGGTCAGTCATGTCGGCGACTAATCATCAGCACAGGACGGGATATAGTGCTTCCATATACGCTCGAGCATAAGAGCACTCTTTATTTCTTTACTATCAGAGTACGAGGGGACGATAATCCAACACGACCGGAGGCGCAACGGATATGTGCCATCCTAGGCACGGTGTAAAACACCGCCAACTTCCTGATTAAGAGTTGGTACTGAGAATCTCTTGACAGAAAAACCCAATAACTGATTTTGGTCCGACCCGGGATTCAAACCCGGGACTTAATGGTCAGCAATCGCATTTACGACCACTAAGCCAACGAGGTAGTCAGATCAAATGCGCATGCTTAGTGAATCCTTAATCAAAAATAGAAAGAAATAGACCCATAGATAATCAAAGCAATCAACAATTTTATTTTTTTGAAAATTAACCCAGTTCAGTTGCACGAAATTTCGTAAATTAAAATAAAATAATTTTCAATAAAAATAAGTAAGTCGAGCGGCCTCTGAACGGCGGCCATTAGAGCGTTGGCAATAAGAGACGAGTCGGTGACGACGTGACGTCAGACGAGGATTTTATATTTAAGAGAAAAGAAGCGAATACTTTTAAATGTAATAGCATTTTTATAATTCTGAATTATTGAAGGTAATAACGAAATATTATTAAGACAGCGACCCGTCCAAGTATTTTCTGAGTATGATTAATTTGGCGTTATTCAGATTTCAGACAATCGTGAAAGAACACTTATTTTATCCATTCTTTTTATAGGATAAAGGTGACAAACGAGCACACAGTACACCCGATGGTAAGTGGATATTGCGGCCCATAGACATCTACATTTATCCTCGACTAAGAATCAAAACGCAGATGCGTTGTCACCCCTGACGACTAAGACGGTATGCCTCCTTTAAAAGAGGGTCTCCGCTCTTTTAGTTTTGCAGCACCGCCTCTTCTGTATCATCTACGAGAATTCTCTATGGAATTAAGTCCGCCATATGTACTTCTTTTTTCTTTGAAAATGTTCAGTTTCAAATTATACGATACATTACGATATTAAGTTATTATTATATTATATTTTACGATATATGCTCATAAAAATGTCCTCCAATATTATTTAGTTTTCTTTACTTCGTATACGAGCAATTTTGAAGAGTAAAACTGTTATTCCGATTTAAAGTATATTTAGGAGGTGAATTTAAACGAGTTAAATACATTGTAGTTTTATTACGAGTAGTTGTAGTGTATCAGTTTTAGTAGTACGTACTTAAATATTTTGCAGGTGGCTTAGGACCGTGCTTTGTGGCGTTACTTGGGGGAGGCCTATGTTCAGCAGTGGACTTGTGAAGGGCTGTAATGATGATGATGATGATGATGATGATACAATTTGCGAATTTTGTTTATATTAGCATGTTATTTTAAAAGAGTTATATTTTATGTAGGTATATTTTATGTAGGTACTTACTAATGAACTATTAAGATAATAATTACTAATTCTAATATACTAGTATAATGGAAAAAATAAAGATTTTTATTACGTCTAAGCCTCTCTCTCTCTCTCTGAGAGTTTTTTTATATAAGAGGGAAAGAAACGAGCTCACCTGATGGTGTCTACCACCATCCATGAATAACTGCAACACCAGGGTAATTGTAGGTGCGTTTCCGGTATTTTAAAAAGAAGTAAGATCGTATTTTGAAGGTCCCTAAGTCGTATGGGTCCGGAAAAATCGCCGGTGGTTCAATAAAGAAGTCGCGCAGGAAAGAAAAACTACCAGTTAATCATTCAGTAGTGGACCGCCAACCATCCAGATGATGTGTATGGTCACGTGAGCTTGATCGCGATGTGCGTTAGTGTAATTTGGCGGTTGGAATTAATAAAAACAAAAGGTATGTCAAGATCGTGTCAAATGAAACTCTGCCTACCCCTCTGAGTAGCAGGCGTGTGAACTTATGTTCTATGCTTATGCTCTATCTTATTAATCAAATCATGCAAGTTTAGATTTAAGTCTAACGCCTCGTTTAGCGGAGCTTGCGGCTTACCGATCATTTTGAGCGGTCACCATTTTTAGCTGAATTGTCTTGACCTGACACTGTATTGTATGGACCAAAATATGTTGTGAACTCTTGATAGAACGGTTCTGACTCATTCCTGACACGGAACGGATTAATGGTATTTAACGCTGGTATTCTGTGAGAGCGTAATTTTTCCCTGGTTGAGGCGATCTGTTTTTGCAAACAAAATTAATTACAAATTAAAACTTATAAATGAGCTAGATAAACATATATGAACTTAATAAATAATGGGAACAAAATATATACGAGGATGTGATTCCAAACGAGTCGCAAGCATTGATTTCCAAATAAGTCATTCACCTTCGCTCCAGACAACCCGGCAAAGGAGGATTTGCAACGCTCCGCCGCGCCGTCAGCGTTTGTATTTCTACCGTTGACTAGCCAACGCCTAACGCCTTAATTTTATTTTATACCGTTTTTAAGACATAATCAAAAATTATACGTTTTTAAGACCTATTGGATTTTCTAATTTATAAAAAGATCCACAACATGACTCGTTGGCGGTCTAAACCTAACACAGAGCTGCAGCTTACGACGCGAATGACCTTGCTCGTTTCGCAGTAAAACCACGCGCCGTCCGTACGCTTTGTTTATATAGACATGTATAATATAATCAAAGCCGTACGGGCTTTGATTATATTATAGTACCCGGTTGACCGAGCTTTGCTTGGTATTTTTCGCTTGGTTTTTTTTAATTCGTGTGTTTTGGAAATTATATTTAGATACAAATTACATACTGATGAAATACGAATAATATTTTTGGATCTTGGCGACATAATAGAAAAACTGAACTGGTTATTTGAATAAAAAATCATGAGTGCAATTACTTTAATTTAAATTTTCGTGTTTTTAAGAAATACTAAAAAAAGGGCTCGAAAAAATAGATTTTCTCAAAAAAGAAAGGAATTTGAAAAAAAAAATTATAAAAGTCGGTCGGTCGGTCTGGGCTCGAACCATGGTATTACGATTTTGTTACCGCCCAATATACCAATTAAACTATTTGTAATCATTAATAAATTGTGAAAATTTACCTTCTTATTCTAACGATATTGTAGCAGTTTTTCATTGCCTAAAAACACGGACAAAAAGACATTTTCTAAAAATAAATCCTAGCTAGATCGATTTATTGCCGCCGAAACTCCCTGCACACAAAATTTTATGAAAATCGTTGGAGCCGTTTCGAATTTTCGATTATATATATATATATATATATATATATATACAAGAATAGCTCGTTTAAAGGTATAGGATTTGACTGAGCTAGCTCAGTACGCAGAGTAATGAACAACACAGAGAGCATTGCTTACTTCTTAAATAAACTTTTCTAAAGGCTTAAAAAAAATTAATTGGTGCATCGTACGTAAAGAACCTCATATAACTGAAAATGTTTGTTCTTGTGAGTCTTACAAGATGCCGTAATGCAAATTGCATAAATAATAAAGAAAAAAAAATTAAAAAGTCGGTGATTGTCCCATAGTGGGGATAGGTACTGTGTATGTAAATTCTCACAAGAGTACTCCGACTGGTCAATCACTTCACTTCCGAAGTATTTCGGTTTTTCTTAATTATGTACTTACCCCATGCTTTCGGACAATACATTGACTATGACATTATTTGCGGTCTCTGTGTTTGCACTACTCTGTACATTCTTTTCCGACTGGGTCTTGATATTTACATTTTTAGTGTTTCTCACTTGAAACTAGAAAAGTATAAATGATCAGTTTGGCTAATGTAAATGAGTAAAAATGCAACCTATTAGGCAGCCTCAAACAAAAAATTACCTTTCAAAAATATAAGTATTAACCTCAAAATACAACATTCGAGCATCGTTCATGCGATAAACTCTCTTTGTTTTACCACTTAGGTAACATTTATTTCTTTTCCTACCCATATTTACATTTATAGTCACTTAAACGCGTATAAAACACTAAATTAACGATTTTCGCTACAGACACATCGACTGTTGTTACCTTACGTCACACGTCGAAGCGCCTGGTAATTTATTACGGCAAACTTTTATCTGGCAATATACGATATTATTATTAGGTGTTTTTAATTAAAACGAATTATGTTAATGAATAATATTTTGTGTCGAAAATAAAGACAGCAGGCACCTTCGGAATCACAATACAAACATTTTTACGTAAAAGAATTTTTCCTAAATTAAAATTCACAGAGTTTTGGAAGAACAATCCTTTTTAAATATCATTTCTTAACATTTTTTTATTTGTTGGTATATTCATTTATTTTAAAATTTTAAAACTGCGGTCACCTTGTGAAGAACGAACAAACCTACAAAAAATGTTTTAACGTTTAGAATTACTTCAGGTCAAAGTTGTAGTGAAGAGAAATACATTAAATTTCGCCAGTTCTCTTCGTATTCGGACTTAAAGGAGGAAACGTCAAAACGGTCCAACGTACCAACAGAAGTGCGTTATGCGTATATCTTAATATAAATTATTTTAATATTATTATAACAAAACTAATATTAAATCATTGAATTATTAATGAATAAAAAGGTTTATAAATAGTCACTTAATAATAATAAAAACTGAACTAAAAACAATCAGTAACTTAGTTATACACATAAAAATATTAATAAAGGCGGTTGAAATAATTATGCAGCTATGAAGGAAGGGACACCTTAAAATTGAATTCATTGTATATTAAAAAGACTTAATGAGTCATGACTCATATGCAGCCGCAACGGGAACACGCTCGCCTACTTTTTGGTTGTGTGGTAAATGGGATTTGGAAGGCATAATCCTTTTAATCCACCAGCACTTCATCTTGATGAAATTATTATTGATGATGAATTATAGGTCCAGTCTACTGTAGATTAAGCTTCATCGAAACAATTTGACTATTATGCTGTATAATTAGGAATAGTGAGTATATGTCATCTCACGAGGAAAAATAATAAAAAGTAATAATTATAATTATTGATAGCAGTGTTGTATTATTGTAAAATGAGCTGTTCTTAAATATAATAAACGTTATAACACTTTCTTTATTTTTAATAATAAAAAACCTCATTCCTATTATTATAAAAAAGTGTATAACCTTATTTCTAGGAGACAATAATTATATTTATACTAATTTGAACTTTGTTAGTAAGTGGGACCACCTCTCGTACAAAAATGCCCGTCCTTTAATTTTCATATATTTCTTTTAATAAATATTAAGTTCTCTATTCCCGCGCATTTGAGTAACAGTTTTAATTTTACACAACTCACATTTGCTTTTAAAAGAAAGTTCACATTGCCTTTTGAAAGGAGTTTAGACAATTCAATTATTTCAACAACAACCCCAAAGAAGTAGGTCTAGTGTGAAAATGAAAATCTGTTCACTGAGCAATATTCAGAGCTGTGTCGCGCTGAAACGACTCTTTGACGTTGTTGCGAATAAAATAGTCAAGTTTTGTTGCTATAAATCATATAAAACGTTAAAAATTAGTTAGGAAACAACCGTTTACAATAAAGAATAAAGAATCAAAATGCAGATGCATTGCCAACCCTGAGGACTAGACAGCTGTGTTTTCAATCATAAATGATAAAAATTATCCATTAAAATCTATTTTTAAATACTTAGTATAAGGTCGACAAACGACAATATACTTGATGGTAAATGAATGGTGAGACCCGTGACAACGTATATAATTTATAGAATCTGGTTGTTTTTATACGCAGTAGAGTCATAATGCAGTTATATTAGTAGTATAGTTGTAGCATGAATGGGTCGGCACGCCTGGGGAAGGACCACGCTCTCACAGTAGCTTAATGCTGCTGTGTTTCGTATAGTAAGTGTAGAGAACAGGAGACCCTTTTTACTGGAAACGAGGCATTATATCCAAGTCCTCATGGGTGACAACGCATCAGGATTTTGATTCGTAATCGAGAATAGATGTAGATGTCTATGGGCCACAACAACCTATCCTATATAAAAAATCTTTGCGGGCGTCCATTATATTCCATTACAACCTACAAAAGTTCACTGCTTAAAATATCCCCCCTTACATTGCCTGTTGTCAGCCGCAGTTCTTTTATTATTTTGTGTTGTTATCAGGAAGAAGCTGCTGCTCATCATCTGTTTCCATTTCGCTCTGTCGCCTCTTACACCCACGAGATGATATAGAGTAGTAGATGTTCCTATACCGCCATTATTATGACGTGGATCTTGGTTATCTAACTTTTAACGTTTTTAAATTACACATAGATCTCTCTGCATTTTGAACCTTAATGAGAATAGTCCGATTGAGGTTCAAAATCCAGACGCGTTGTCAACCCTAAGAATTAAGATGGAATGCCTCGTATCCAGTACAAAGGGTCTCCAGTTCTCTAAACTTGCCATAAGAAACACAGTAGCCTTAAGCTGCTTTATAACGCTGGTATTCAGTGAGAGCGTTGTATTTTCCCGGTCAAATCGACTCATTCGTGCTACAACCATATAACTACAGCATCTCTACCACATATATTAATGTTTGTTCATTCGCAGCTTTGTTAATATACCATACAATATAATTTTTGTGATTAGAATGCATTCTTGTACTTGTTCCACAATGTTTATTTAAATTTACCCAAGACCCATTTTATTGGAAACAAAGCATTCCATCTTACACCTCAGGGCTCGCAACGCATCTGCATTTTGGTTCTTAAGTGAAGATAGATGTAGATGTATATAAGCCACAGCAGCTATCAACAATTAGGTGGACTGTTAGCTCGTTTGTCATCCCTATCTAATATATAAAAATTAATGTTTGTTTGTTTGTATTTTATGCGCTGCCATACTGTCCATCAGATTGCGGTAAAACTTTGTTCTACCGCAATCTGATGACATAACCCAAAAGTGCAAACTAATGGTTTGCACTTTCGCGACGGTTATGGGCATAGTTTGACACGGTAGGTGATGCTGTTGTTAAATACATATATATATATATATATATATATATATATATATATATATATATATATATATATATATATATCTGTAT